AAATGCTTCATCATCACTGAGACCGTCTGGTAACTCAGAAATTCACAGTTACAGTTCACAGTTCCCACGCTTTCCCCTCAGAAAAATCTGAAAACAGAGGGTTACTGACTGCTCAGGGCTTTATATGTTCATTACAGACAACAGCCTTTAAGAAATCAGCAGAGACTGCAGATCCTATTCCTCACTGACTAGCTGGCTGCAAGCAGCAATAATTAAGCAGTAAGACAGTGGGCAGGACATTTTTACAGCATGCTTGGGTTCCAATGCATAAGGCATGAAGCTGAAGTAGAGTAGCTAACCACCTGAGAAGTGCAATAATCACTTGAAATGCAGTGTCTTTTTGTAATGAAAATAAATTTATCCATAAAAATAAGGGGAATAAGATGTGCCACTGACATGAAGAGATCATCACTTACAGCCAGAGTTCTGAAGTCACAGTGTAATACATGCATATATGTCAATCTCCTTTCTATTCGCGGAACAGAACTACCAGAGTCTTTCCAAACTTAATCAGTACAAATGATTCTTCCTCCAGTGATCCATGTACCAGTACTTCAAACTTTTATGTCTCGCATTCCAGACTTACCCTCCCTACCTCAACACTGAACCTAGTGCTAGGCTCCTGGGAGGCAGTGCTGCGGCCTCCTTTCCATTCAGTCATGCATGATCCAGTGTTGAGCTTGAGCGCTCCACATTTCAGTCTCACAGCTAAGAGATTGGGCTGGAACAGCCCAAAGGTTAAAGGTCACATAACTTAACAGGAGTCTACAGACACTGGATCGGTACAGTCAATATCTTATCCTGGTAAACTGATACAATCGTCTGAAAGGCAGGGAGCCAGTTCTCTATTGAAAATAGTAGTAACAATTAAATAAAGCAATAGTTTTAAAAACTGGGTAAAACATAGGAGAGGGCACTAGTATTGTGTTTAGGATAACTTTACGTAAGTCCAAAAAATAAAAAAAAGGGGCAGTGTGGGCAAGCAGCAAAATTTTCAATTAGAAATATTTACATATAAAGAAGCCAAAATTTTCTCCTGTCAGAATCTACAATGATTTAGTGCTTCTGATTTCACTAGCAGCACTACAAGTTTGTCCACTTAATCAGAGATTTTTATATTTGCATAAAATTGCAGTGAAATTACTACATGTGATATCTGCATTATTCTTATGAATGCTATGTGACTGTTTCCCTCTTCAGTTTTGTACTGCTGCCTCCTTGAACTCAAAGGTTAAGTCAGACCAGAGCTGGGGGTTGATCTAGGCAGGAAATGCAACTTAGGGTACGTCCAGACTACCCGCTGGATCGGCGGGTAGCGATCGATCTATCAGGGATCGATCTATCGCGTCTTGTCTAGACGCGATAGATCGATCCCCAAACGTGCTCCCATCAGCTCCAGAACTCCACCAGCTTGAGCTAGTTGCCTGGGTACAATCCCTCTGAGGCTAGGTCTACACTAGCTGGGGGGGGGGGTCGACCTAAGATACGCAACTTCAGCTACGGCATATCTTACGTCGATTTACCTGGCTGTGAGGATGGCAGCGAGTCGACCGCTGCCGCTCCCCCGTCGACTCCGCTTCCACCTTTCGCCGCGGTGGGAGTTCCAGAGTCGACGGCAGAGTGATCGGGGATTGATTTTATCGCGTCTACACTAGATGCGATAAATCGATCCCTGATAGATCGATCACTACCCGCCGATCCGTGTAGAAATGCCCTGAGATCCTAGGTACGTACTCAGGCAGTTAATCCGAGCAGCTGCCCATGCAGCCACACCGCTATTGTTAGCATGCTAGTTTAAGCAGAGCTAGCACGTGGAAGTCTACCCGAGCTGGGAATTACACCTCCCAGCTGCGGTGCACACATAACCTAAGAGATAAGACAGCCACAGGCACACACTTTCAAAGAAGTCCACCCCAGAAGGGGCAAGGCCACAAGGCCTGACGCCTGTTGGGGTGCACTCGGTGAGACCCTGAGAAAGGGCTGTGGTGCAGCTAGCTTGGTAACTGTCACACTAGCTTTGAAACCAGCTTTACATCAACTCAGGTTTAATTCCATGCTTTTTCCAATTGCCCAGGGTCACTATATAACCTCCACAGAGCAAAAGACAAAGGTCAGATATACATTCTGATTATTTTTAGTTCGGTCAGTAGCCTTTGATATCATTGACCAAAGGTTCTGTTGACTTGCCTATGGGCATTAACTGGAGTACACTATATTGTGCATGAGTTG